TATATACTATTTTGAGTGGTCGGGCACAACCTGACCACTCTTTGGATCTGTTACGATTAATCTTTCTTTCTTTCTTTCTTACTTTCTTTCTTTCTTTTTTTTTCCGGACAATACTTCTCCGCGGGTTTTCTCTTAATCGGTATATGGTATGAACTTGTAACTTTCAATATATATCGACCCTCATCCGAAGTGGTGCATGTTACTCTGACGTCATGATTACGTCATCAGGTGTCAAATTACAAGTGATTTTAGGTGGAAAAGTGACCAATTACTTTCACTTATAACTCTTGAACTAAGTAATCAATGATGTTTGTATTCTGTATTGAGATATATTATGCTATTGACCATTAATTGCTCAACATTTTTTGTCGTGTACGTGAACTCGCTTGACCTTTACTTCCGGGTCTACTGGAAGGTCAAAGTTAGATGAATTCAAAATGAAGACGTTAGCTTGAAATAAAAACAAAGCAAAATTTCTTCCGAACGGTTTACGATACAATCACAAAACTTTGTGTGAACTTGTACCATGTTATTACGAAGATGTATTTTGTTACGTCAGCATGACGTCATCGGGTATCAAATTACAAGCGATTTAAGGGCAAATTTTGACAAAATAGTTTACGCTATATCTTTTAAACTCAAAAGAGTTTCGTGTCCGTTTTTTTTTTTTTTTGAGGTTGTAGATTATGCCGTGAGTAACATTTCTTGTTCCCGGACACAAAACCGCTTGACCTTCACTTCCGGTGTCACCGGAAGTGCAATAAAAACCGAATATAACTCAAAAATGGAATCATTTTACTTCACTCATATAAATTATGAAAGTGTTTAGTGAGGAATGCCAGACTCAAACGCAGTGTGATGACGTCATCTTTCGAAAGGGTGCCCCCTAGCGACACATAAAACAGTGTTTGCTTTCTTTAATTTGAAAACCATCCGTTCAAATTTTATCATATCGCCCCTTGATATTCTTTGAATAACCACAGATAACTTGGCAAGGTTTCAAATTCATGACGTCATCAGACCAGAAGTTACTTCTATGAGAATTTGAAAACGACGCGCATTTTAAGTCTATTTTATATCATTCGATCCATGTTGAATATCTTCGTAGCCCAAATAACGATTAAATCCATTACAATGTCCTTTTTTGCATGCTTCCAAATACTGTGACGTTATCAAACTGGAAGTTAGATGTTATGAATACATACACTTACATTTTTTCATATTTTCATACATTATTTAACTTCCGTGTATCCACTCCAAACTAAATCAGTATTCACTTTCCATTTTTGAATAATTACGTCATCAAGCCAAAAATAACTTAAATGTGTACATAGAATGTTTACTGAATTTTATCACAAAAAAAATGATCGTACTGTAAAGGATTTAATTTTTGATCCTTTGTTCTTACATAAAAATATCATAACTTAACTCGGAAGTGTTTAATGAAAAATAAATGCCTGCCCGACCACTCTGCATTTGTAACAACAAACGCGAACCTCTAGTTTAGTTTTCCTTTTTGTTCGTACAAAAATTTCAAAACTTGTACATTTTATTCATTGTCCGGGAATTAAAATTGACAACGTTTTACCGTAACCCTTCTAGCTACGAAAAGACAATAAGTCTGAAAAATGAACATCTTGGCCACCGTGCACTAGTGTAAGCCACACTTGAACACATGTACATCATGTTTAATAATAAAAAAAAATTAAAATAAAGCGACAAATAAATAAATGCACTGAAGGATATAGATTTGGTCTACTGCGTTCTAAAGTAAGCCGATAACCTACTCAAAGCGACCGACTTGTTAAATGATCTGAATATTACCCAGATACTGCCAGTCACTATGGATGGTACAGTAACTGGATGGTAAACGTATGCTTGCTAAACTGCCCTTAACTTTTTACAGACCTGGATCTAATTTGCAGACAGCATTTGTTGGGGGGGGGGGAAAATGACCAAATAAAACCAACACCATAACCCTTAGATTGTTTTTCTTTTGTTTTTCTTTAATTAGAAAATGGAGCCAGCACAGTTATGAAAAAAAAACCAACTGAAAGTGAAAGTTTAATGCTCAGTTTAATGCTAACTTCAAATATTGCAATTGAATGACCTCTAGGAAATCGACTGTATTGGTCACAAATGTAATTTCTTATTTTGTTTACAAGCATGAACTACAATACAGTTCTCTGAATGTAGTAGAGCTACATGTACACGTAAAAGGTTCATGTGTTCAGAATATGTACATAAAATGATAAAAATGAAAAAAAAAGTCACTTTTGTAAGAATTGAGTAAATCATAAAGTAAAATGCAATATGAGCAATATTGATCAATTTTTATTAATCTCAAAAAAGAGCCATGGAAACTGATTCTATTGAGTTAGTCCTTTGCAGATACAGTGTAAAATACAAATACTCCAGTAAAGTAATGCCTCGTACATGTACATTCATTATTTTCCACACAAAAAGCATGAAATTACATGTACATGTATCTATAACAAAACTGAAACCCTTATGATACAAAATATATTAATGATGGCGCCTACGCCGGCTAATAAAAATGAATATCCAGGGTATAATTATCACAACCTGATGACTCTAATAACTACAGTCTGGTTCGGTTGCATTTTAGTGAACCGATTCTATATTCTCTGTGTGCGACCAAGAGCTGGTGCTTTTTGACCACCAATCTGATGTTGTTGCCAAGCTGTACAAAGCAAGCCAGGTCAAACGGGTAGCTGGGTAGTGCCTGCCTTTATTGCAACGTCAATGAAAAAAAAAAAAAAATTGAGTTCTTTTTTGGGGGGGGGGAGGGGGCATGGCCTCCGTTGGCCCCCTCCCCCCCTGGATCCGCCCTTGAACACAACTAAACAAATTGGCTGTTACCTGTTTTCGCTCCATGTATCTCTAGGATAGGCATGAGTAAACCTTTTGCGCATTCATTGCTTGGATGGATTAGATTTTATTTCATTCATCTCAGGCCCCCCCCAAAAAAGTCTCCGGTTTCTGGTATGCGCACGCGTCGCCGTAGCCATGCGCGTCGGCAAAATGAAAAAGTTTTTTTTTCAATGAAAGATGATGTCTCAAAACCGCCAAACTCACTGGTTTGACTGGAATCCTGCTGCTGCACAATTTTAACGTGTTTTTAGATTGGGTTATGGTCGAGAATAAGCTTTATGTGGTCTCTCTGGACTCCCATAAATTTGCACTAAGTTTAGTCGGGCACCATTTGCAGTCATCAGCCGACATTTGAAGCAAAAAAATTACTTTTTGGGCAAGCTCCATACCAGAAACCGGAGGCTTTTTTTTTTGGGCCTAACGACCACCAAATTACATGTTATAATTAAAATAATAATATAAAAGATATCAATACAGCAAAACAGTAAAATTGCGATAATAGAATACCAATTATACACATGTCCCAATATTGCACTCTAAAATAAATAATGAAGAAACGCACATTCACATCACTAAAAAAAACAGCCCACATTCTTAAAAGTTGAAATGTACTTCAAGTGCATAAAAGGGTTTAAAAGTGAGAAAAATTTACCTATAGATTTATAATATCAATAAGAAAGGGAATAGGACTTTTCTGAAATTGGGTGGTTCTAGCAGGACTTTGAGAAATTGTATGAGTATTTCTAAGACATCTACCGTGGCTTTCAAATCCAGTGGGGGCAACAAAGAACAAGTGCGGAGTTTTTTTTACTGAGTTTTTTAGCAAATTTCGTACAATGGGCTAGTCTTCTACCTGTATATCTGGTAGGATATCAGGTTTACGAAAATTAAGATACATTAAAACAACAAAGAATGTCCGCGTCTGAGAAATACCGGTACCTGCAATACATACATGAAATATTGTTCACCTGGACTCAACCTACAGTATTCTGGAACTGAAGCCTAGTTGGAATTTTACCTTTCAAAAAAAAACAACAACAAAAATCCATCTTAACATAGAGCCTGTTGCATCTTGAATCTTGTATTGCATGGTATTTTTCCCCTTTTGGATCCATTAAACTACAGTGCTTGAGTGGTTTCAGGTGATATGGGCTCTGTGCGCAAACAATAGAGGGCGCTTATTTACCACTTTCGTGAGCCCCGTGGATGGGACACACTGTGTGAGCGTATTGGTTCGTGCGCGTATAGCGCGAAGTACGCACAACTAATTTTATGCCGAGTGTGCACAAAGCCATAGCCTCTTCGCTCGAGCGTCTGGCGTCGTCGGTAATGCGTTCGACTGTCACTTCAAGTGGTCTCCCCCAACTCTCCTTCCTTACCGTTGAGGGGGTACTTGTGCACGGAACCCATGGGGAATAGCAGGCAGGGTGCTTTTGGGGGTATGGGAACTTCAGGAAACCATTTCAAAATTACAAACTTTGCACTGCGGTCATCAAGATTTGATGATGTGCAATGTAATCTACAGTGAATTTGGCCATTTGATCCGCAGTTCTTCCTTGTAATCCAACAGAACAGGAAAAATAGACGAGCCATAACTTGGAGCATGAGACTATTTGATTGCGGAACTTATAGTGTTATGATATTACCATCGAACAATGCATTGGAAACCAGACTAGTATAAAGCTGTTGCATCCTCTAAAGATGAAGAACTTGAAGGCAGTGAAGACGGAAGAAAAATTCTTCCTTTACGGCAGCATTGCCAATGTTGCTAGCATTACTTTGGTTGTGATCCCGGGCTACATGGTATATGTGGGTTTGCGGCTTCCGACTCGTGCCCTTGAACAAAGATATTGACTTACTGGAGAACTGCCAACATAAAGCTGGATGGATAGCTCAGTTGGTAGAGCACTGGTACGGTATTCTGGAGGTCACAGGTTAAAACCCCGCTCCAGTCAATTTCTTTGTGCAATTTAATGATCATTTCAAAAGAATCAGACTTGTTGGATCATTCATTGAATGATGTGGCAAAAGTTTTAATGACGTTCTCAGAGACTTGAATATTTCTTCTCATAAAGCCATGCTCTTTTTCTCCCTTATGTCTACAGCAATGTGTGAAGCAACATGTACCTGGAGCGGTGTTCTACCACCGAGAGCTTACAAGAACCCTACGTACTCTTGTAAAGTCTTCCTAGGAGGTGTGCCATGGGACATCACAGAAGGTAAAATAGCTATTTCTTAATGGGAAAGTTCAATCAAGGACCTTTGGTTTACTAGTGGGTTTGTCTTGACCTTCCTTGAACCTTTGCGCTGATATTGAAGAGTGAACATTCTAGTCAAATTCTGGTTGGCAAAATTTAAGATCGAGGCGATGATAGTGTTTATCAGAGCAAGCTGTGACCCCCCTGGGACCCCCGGACCCCCAGACACCCCCCCCCCCCTCCCGACCCCCCCCCGACCATTCCCCCCCCCCCCCCCCCGTGCCGCTTATGACACTGATTGACATGTTTAGACTTGTACTGGTAGAACATCATTTCATGCTGTCTGTTACATATCATTTGGTATACAATGCAGCTTCACAAACTAAAAGTTCGTATCCGTGCCAGATATTTATTTGAACCCAGGATTCAGACCAGATATGAATCAAGGAAACATGGCAGTGTTTAAAATAGATGCATTGTCAGATGACATTGAATGAGAGAAATCATAACTTGAAGATCAAACAGACATACATGTAGTGTCAAATCTGCGATAGGCCCACGATGATCAGTCTGTTATTCGATCAGAGACAGGAATCTGGTAACCTTTTGGTTAACCCAAAAAATATTTTCGGAAGACGAAGAAAGATTGAATAGATATTTGGTTGTTGAACCTTCAGTTGTCTGCATTTATATAATTTGCCAATCAACAGAACAAATCAGCTGTTCAATTTATTTAAATGAGAGATGATGAATTGATTGAAGAAATAATTATGCGCACTTGTGGGCCTAATCTGCATATTAATCTGTTTCTTGGACAACATTTCTATGAAGAAAATTTATTTAGATTCAGAGTCTGTTATGAAATAGACAAATATGTAATATCCTTTTGATAGCTCAGTGAATAAACCTTGAAATGTATTTATTTTTTTCAATTCGTATACGTCCATCATCCAGTAATGGTCAAGGAGATTGTAACAGACTCCGAGTTTGTGATCATTTCTCTCAATAAATAATTAGATATCATGGTTAATTGGCTCTGTCATGGACATTACACTTCAATTCGTAACCCTGGAATTGCCCACGTGTATCCTTCAGATTCTCGAGTGTTGTGGCATTCTTTTCTCATTAATTAAGCGCATCACATGATGGCCCTAGTGCTTCAATAATTGCATTACATGTACCTGAATACATGCATGTACACAGAACTTTTACACGGATTAAAGTGATAAACTGTTATTTTTAAAGGGTGGGGTGGTTTTCTTTGTAATTTATTTTTAACAGGCATCCATTCTCTTGGCTGTATGACAGATAAAATGAACATTTTTCCGTCTAAATTTTGTCAAGGAAAGATCAAATTATGGGTTTTTTCCCGGCCTGGAAGTGTTAAGTGTGTTGAATATATCTTTAATAGTGACATGAATTTCTTATTTGGAAGCCTGCCCGAAGCAGGGCATGCTTGTTTTCCCCTAAATCATGTATTATTAACCTTTCAATCATCGCCCAGCAGTTACGGCATATCTCTGGATACATGCACATGAACATGCATGTTTGTACATGTATTTAGTCACACCTTTCTTTTAGATTCGGAGGGGCGTTGTGACATTGTTGCCATTGAGGCACGTACACCCTCAGATATTTCAGGCATGGCGCTGATGAGAGTGCATTGCGATATGTATCCCTCTCAGCAAGTAAGCAAGACAAAGCCTAAACATTGCTCATCTTTAAGGGAAGGAAAGAAATTTGCCTGGAAATATTTTCCAAATATAACTGCTGTCTGCAACACCTAGACTTGGCGAGGTATGAGAGCATATTTAAAGTGTTTCATTGAGCTTTCTGAAAGGTTTACTATCATAGCCCTAACAGTCCTGAATCCTCCAATTTCAATATAATTTTGCACACCCCCTAGGGAGTTGGGGTTAAAGGTGTACTTTATTAAAGGTAAATTTTTGTCCAGAGCTTGCCAAAATTTAGTATTTCATATTGTTTGCTTGGCATATTTCAAAGATCTTGGTCACAGAAAATCACTACCAGAGATGGCCTCAAAGATGGCAGCATACGTGAATAGGCTTACATGTACGGTTGAGTCCGTGTTGGTCTGTTTGAAAAAATTAATCCACATCAAAACCAATTTTTTTACCCAAAGAAGTATGAAAATGCTGCCCATGTACTTTGTAAAATGTCCCGTTGTTTTACCTTCATAATATCAGAGTAAAGATTTGTTTCACGTTCTGATTGTTTTATTCAGCTGGTCTTCAGAGCTGCTTCAAGCCGTTTGGGACGGTCCGCGTTGAATGGCCAGGGAAGGACGGCAAACATCCCAAATACCCACCCAAAGGTTGGTTCCTAAAGTTTTTTTCTCGGTTATGAATGAAACTTGTTTCTTTGCTCATCTTTTCGGAAATAAAAAGTTACTAAGGCTTGTGTTGGAAACAAAAGAAAAGAGATTGGTTTACTGAAAAAAGAGTAATTCACAAGATATGTTATTTGTACATGTACAACTGTGTCCATTTTGAGGGCAATCCAGTGGTTAAGTTTAACCCATAAGCACTCATATTACATTGTATGAATATTTTTTCCCGGAAGAATGTGTGGGGCAGTACAAGGAGTAACACGCAGGGCAGTTTGGGGCGGTTCAGGGACTATTGACGGTTAAGCGCTACTCTGTTGTTCACAAAATTCCTCAAAATTTGGCAATCAGTGAATATTTTGTGTAATACCTGTGTCTTCTTGAATCACTGGAGGATATTCTCCAAATAATAATTCTTTGGCGGAAATACATGCACCGGTAGATCGTAAGGAAATCAATTATGATGGCTAAACTTGAAGTTGGCTTCGGTAGATACGCGTTTAAGTGTTTTTTTTTTTAAAAGCGGCTATAGATGTTGCATGTATGTGCACTGATCCCCCTCCCCAACATTTGCATTGCCTTTAAAAAAAAAAAATCCTGGCTTTTTTGTACTGGCTTTTTTGTTTGCACTGAATTATTCAATACTGTGCACGGCTATGTAACGGTATGACCTAAGGGGTGCAGATCCGTAAATGGGTCCAGAATTGCCAACGCGGTCCAAATCACAACTTGTGCACCCTCAAAGTCTTTGCCATTAGAGCATTTTGTGTGCCATGAATTTGAAGGTTTGTAAAAAAAATATGGGTGGAAGCCGTGCTCAGGAGTGTGAGCTCGTATTTCTGTAAAAATTCTCAGGAATTTGCACCCTAAAATTGCTCTATTTTGCAATGGAGCGCAGGCATTATTTTTCAAAATGGCGATGGGCTACAGGCCTACTTTTCGGGGTGATCATCTTTGGATGGAATTTTCTCCCGAAAGGTTATTTGATAATGAACACAAATTGAACAGAATACGAAAGATTATGAAATAATCTTTCATGTCATGGGTGTGTAAAACACATTGGAGTGTTGTGAGTATTTTAAATAATATTTGGAAGTACGCGTAATTATCACTGAAGTCTATGGGAGTCGGTGTGCAGGTCTGCACCCTGAAGGACCGACATGACCACCTGCTTTTCCTGTCTGGTCAGGTAGAGAAGAATTACGGATGGGGAGAGGGCAAAATGATAACCCGATGAACAACTCAAAACAAAATGTTAAATAAACGTGGCAGGATTTATTGACTCGGTTACAAAGGGAAAGTGGGGGAAGAGGCTGCTACCGGGTAGTTTGTGCAGAGTCATGCTACTTCACGGCATAAGCATGCAAAACATTATGCACATGTGGTGTATTCCTCCCACTGGAGCTAAACAAACAAATGTGGACTAACTAAATTTGGTAAATTAGGGCAGTATTTGAAAAAAGTCACTTTTTTTCCAACGATGGTCGGCTGACCATCGTTGGAAATTCTGCAAAAATTCTACTTTTCTTGAAAATGACAGCAAACCAGGTACCGTGATTTCACAGGATGCTTGAGACTATTATTCACTTATACCTAGTCAAGTAATGCATTTCATAATAATTTGGTAGTTTTGTTCTGATGTTTGCAAAATTGTATATTACCTTTAAGCAACTTTGATTAGTTCCTTGACCTCACAGATCCGACGAGAGGCAGCATGTAATGGTGGTACATGTACATGTACATGTATTTCGAAGTATTGTCAAAGGAATCTATGACAGAGTGCCACTCTGTCAGTGCATTTTAAATCCCATTTTAGATATAAAAGCCACCGTTTTCTTTAAAATGACAAACCAACCCGTGGAATACTCCTACATCGAGTTCCGTACAGCATTGACTACTTTGATGTAATTTGGTTTTGGGTGAATTCCAGTCAATTTAAATGTATTTGGGGAAAATATTGTATGATTCTTTGGACAGATTTGGAAAAAAAAAAGCCTTGAAAAATAGGTCTTTTTAGTTTTGGGTTCATAAGGGTACTGTACATACCAGTGGTTTCTCATCACTGATTTTATTAGCCAGGCAAAAATCACACCATTTTTAAGTCCCATTCAGCAATTTTTTTCCGCATCAATCCACCTCTTATACTTCTGCATACATAACTATACAAGGAAATAACTTGCAAAGAATTCACAGAATCTACCTCTCCACAGACTTGCATTGGGGACCAAAAAAAATTATTGTCAAACGTCGGAACACATAAATTTGAACATATTTCATTAAACTGCATCAATAAAAGGCCTCTATGTGACACCAAATGCTGCCGTGTGTTTGTTAACTGCACTGGATTGGTATGCTTACATATCGTATTTGCACTAAAAGTTTATTTGTGCAAACTTTGCACTGGTTGCTGGACTGAAACTCATTCAGTTGCGGTTCTTGGCCTGCTATAGTGTGTCATATAAGTAATCACTCAACTTATTCTTACTAATTTTCAACTTTTTTCCTTGAAGTGAAATATTTTTGTTGTGGTCTGCAAAAAGTACAAATGTTTCACCTTCCACTAAGTGAAAACCCTCCACTAAGTGAAAAATGAGAAGGAACTGGGCACAGGCCAGAGTGGAGAAAAATGCAGAAAACCGAATGGGGATGATTTTTGTTCTATTTTCAGATTTATTGATATTTGTAATTTTTTTATATGTCAACTACACATGTTTGAAATAACTAGTTTAAAAATCCTGAAATTAAATTGTTTTTAAGGAAAAACAATTGGCATTTTTCATTTTTTGCAAACTACAAATGTACATGTGCAAAACTTGAAACTTTAAAAGCTTTTTCTTCCCAGTATTTTACTTTTTTTGACAAGTCGATAAATGCGAACTTCAAACAGCCATAACTTGTCAACAGAATGTCCGATTGAAGTGTAATGAACAGTATTGTAAGGGGAAGTTTATTCGCTTTCCTTATACCCGCAAACCCTCATTTCGACCGCTGCCCAGTTCTGTCGCATCTTGCCAAGATTGCCTCACATTTTGTTGTTGCAAAATGCACATGAGACATACTGACACAATGATATGCATAAAATATCTCTGCCATAGATATATCCATTGGCCTTTAGTTGTATATATATGACAATGCAAATCCATGCAATATCTATTTGCCTGTATATATGTAAACTTATCGCTCATAAATTTTTACGACTTTTTATCATATGAATGACCTTCCAATTTTTTATTAAGTATGAACTTTTAAATGGCAGAAATTAAGCAATTGTTTCATCTTCAGATTCACTGAAGTGATTTGGATTCGAGCCAAAAGGGGGGGGGGTATCATTCATTCATACTTGTTCTAAAATTAGTTTCAGGATATAGCTTCATAACAGCACGACCCTAAAAAAAAAAAATGTAATGCATACCATATTGTTTGTAGTACATATATTGCACATCAAGTTTCAGTTTTTGTCTCCTGTGTATTACATGTATATATGCACATGTACATGTATACATTTATTTGTCTGGGTCATTTGCGGCAGATTGTTTTTTCCATTATAACAATTGCAAATAAAAGGTACATTAAATTGCAGCATCATTGTATTAATTATTTATTGGGGCCACATTGTTTTTTTGCCATTTAATATGCAGATTTCAAAGGGAAACAAAGCAAAAATACAAAAAAAAAATAGAAGAATAAACATGGTCACGTGCATAACCAGGAAAAAAAAATATCCTCGTAGTAGTATTTTTAGCAAACGTGTCTGGACTGTTTCCCCCACAAATTTGCATTTTTTGTATTTTCCGTGGGACGATACCCCTGATAAGCCAGAAGCCATGCAAGAACAACGACAAATGAACCAAAAGAAAACCATTCCAACAATACATGTATGAATGTAGACATAAATATGACAAAAATATGACAAGCGTGTCATATTTTTTTCAGGGAGATATTTTCATGACTAATCTTCAACTAGCATTATCACCTGATCCTTAGTCTCATAGTAACAAACAGATTAGGACTGCATGGACTTGAAATATATCATATTTTTTGCTGGAACACCTAGGCTTTATTCACGATTTGGCCATATTAAGTTGAAGGTGAGGTAAAATCTTCATTTTTGGAACTTGCGAATAGAAATGAAAGCAATGACATAAGGTTCATTTCAAATTAATACCAGCCTGCTCTGATGAATAATTGAAAATTATTGATTACACATACCCTAATGTTTTAAGCCACATTTAAACAAAAATTTGAAAGTGACGCATAAATAGTCTGACACCATCCCATTCAACGGTTTACAATTGGGTCTTTCTATAAATTTGGGGTCCACTTTTGTTCCTGTCCCTGTTACATCTGACATCTATGATTTATGATTTTAATTCACTCCTCAATGCAGTCATCCTCCAAGAGTGATTACGAACAGCAAACTACCTACCCAATAAATAAAACATCATTTGAAGTCATTTTTAATGGTGCTTGAATGGCAAATTACAAAGTACCAAGTTAACAAGGTCAGGAAAAATGTCACACTTTGGACCCCAAATTTATAGAATGACCCAATTATAAAATACATTCAGGGAACACAACCAAAAATGGCTACCTTGTGAATAAGGTATAATTCTGGTAGGTAGCCGGAATGTGTAAATATGTGTTATTTTTTACAATTAAAATATATAGTACTTAGCATTATCTATGAAAACATGTCATGCATGCAACCAGCAGATACATGCATTGTGATTTCCACCGGGACATGTGTTCTAGGAAAGCAGGAACTGTAATCACATGCCGAGCACAACATTTTTAGGAAATTGATTGATTTTTAGTACAAAACTGGCGCATGTGCTTGGGAAATTTCAAGTGAGTTTTTTTACAGAGTGAATCATGGTGGCGATTTCTTGGCAACAAGGGGGGGGGGGGGCAGGGGGCGAATTTTCCTTTCCCAAACTACATCAGCATACGTTTGTTTAGCGACCTCTACGATACTTTTATGATACGTA